CCAATTTTCGGTATTTTGGGGTTCTTGAGCGCGATTTTCAGCCGAATTTGCTGCAATTTGGTGTTTTGTAGTCGTATATGGTAACAAATCTTTCTACCAAAAATTATTAATATTCGCCCCCTTTTTGGGGTAGTCCCCATATAACCCCCTTTTTTATATTAAAATAGTTATCTGATTTGTTCCGCGTTTTGTGTTTGGTTCTAAGACTCTATTGTAATGATTTTACCTGCGGAGGATAGCGAGATAAAAAATTAGAACGTAAGGTTCGATAATGAACTATAGCCAAAAAGGTCCACTTTTTGGTATGTTCCCTTTATTTTCATTTCTAGTACCTGTCAGTATATCTATGGTGGAGGGTATCCAAAGTTCGGCCCGGCCATGTTGCGTGTTTCTGCTTGAATGTTGTGCTTAAGCTCTTGAATTGTTTGGGGTTTATTGATATACACAAATCCCTTCAAATAGCCCCACAAAAAGTCTGGAGCGGTCAAATCGGGTGAGCGTGGAGGCCAAGCAAAATCACAATTTCTGGAAATTGTTCGAATAGCATATTGCAGGCGTGCCTGATGGTCTTGGGGGAGCAGAGGCTGTGCCATTTGAATTTTATACGGAGACATTTTAAGATTCCGCTTCAAAATTCTTTGCAGGGATGTTCTGGAGATTCCCAATTGAGTACAACGACGACGAGTAGAGACAGATGGATCTTCGTTTATACTCTGATCGATCTCTTCCTCTTCCAGGAAGATCTAACACTCTTCTATGTTTCTCAAAACGGGGGACTAAGTGGGAGACATTAAAATGACAACGATAATTTAGTTGAGTTGTAATGATTGACCTTCCAGAAGAATAAAAAATTCAATGACTTTGACGCGCTTCTGCACATCATATGTAGCCGTGATTTATATCCAAAAACCAGTAAATAACATGCTACACAGAAAAAAAATTGTAACCATTTGATAAAAAAATTCAAAAATCCAATTAAAATTTGATTGATTTTTCGCCGATAAAAATAATGTTCATATTTACAATCGCCGATAAAACCAGTGAGCGGAGCAGTATAGTCGGACGGGGCCGACCATACGATACCCTACACAACTACCACGTACTCTAACTTTCTGAGGATGTTTATTCCGAGTCGGAGTAATATTTCGTGATATTTGCCCCCTCTTGACCGATTAGAGGTTAACAACACCTCTTCCTTACTTTTTTCGAATATTCAGTACAGTCCTTCTAATTACTTGTCCAGATTACCTTCACGGTGGGTTGTGTTGTGATTTTCGGATTATACTCTACTTGAAAACACACAAAAAATTATGTTTTCGGTCCATTTCATCCCAAAATTTTAATCTGATCATCACCGAAAATTGTAGGCGTTGTTCTTGACCATAACTGGAACTTCATGAAAAATGTCAAAGCCATCAGGGCGATATTTCTCCCTCTAATGTGGTAATGGGTTACTAAATAATATCTGAATACGTAAGCACCTGTAAATATTTGACTGTAACTCCCACATCTGAGTAGATACATCACTATATTTGGTATCAATTTAAACGCCAACCACTCCTCTTGGATATGCTATCAACTCCTGGGGTCTACATCCTCCAGGAGTAAATATATATGCCATAGAATACAAATTTTGTCATTTTTCACACAAAAGTCAGGGTCCATTTGACCCGCTAAATATTGACCGATCTTTATCAAAACATGCATGCTTATTCTCTGGCCCGATCCCCTTCTCCATGCAAAAATTCGCGGTGTTTGGGCCATAATTGCGGCCTCTGGAGCGACCAGAAAAACCGACAAAAATTTAGTATTTGGTCCATTTCATCCCCTAAATATTAACTGATCTTTTCCAAAAACAATAGGGGTCTTCATTGGCCAGAACCCATCCTACATGCAAAATTTCGTGAAGATTGGTCCATAACTGTGGCCTGTATCGTGTTTACAAATTATAATGGACAGACGGACGGACGGACACACATGTCTAGATCGACTCAGCTAGTCGAGATATGACGATCGGTATACTTAAAGGTGGGTCTAGGACCAATATTATGCACAAAGCTATAATACCCTGACAACATAGTTGTGTAGGGTATAAAAATTGTAATCCCATTCGAAAATATTTTGATAAAGCAATTCTCATATATACTAAAAATTTTGTTGAATTTTATTTTGTTAATGGATAAAATATTTATACCCTACACAACTATGTTGTCAGTGTATTATAGCTTTGTGCAGCCCCAAATGTTTGTAACGCCGCGAAATATTGGTCCTAGACCCACCTTTAAGTATACCGATCGTCATATCTCGACTAGCTGAATCGATCTAGACATGTGTGTCCGTCCGTCCGTCCGTCCGTCTGTCCATTATAATTTGTAAACACGATACAGGCCACATTTATGGACCAATCTTCACGAAATTTTGCATGTAGATTGGGTTCTGGCCAATGAAGACCCCTATTGTTTTTGGAAAAGATCGGTTAATATTTAGGGGATGAAATGGACCAAAAACATTATTTTTGTGGGTTTTTCTGGTCGCTCCAGAGGCCGCAATTATAGCCCAAACACCGCGAATTTTTGCATGGAGAAGGGGATTGGGCCAGAGAATAAGCATGCATGTTTTGATAAAGATCGGTCAATATTTAGCCGGTCAAATGGACCCTGACTTTTGTGTGAAAAATGACAAAATTTGTATTCTATGGCATATATATTTACTCCTGGAGGATGTAGACCCGAGGAGTTGATAGCATATCCAAGATGAGTGGTTGGCCTTTAAATTGATACCAAATATAGTGATGTATCTTATCAGATGTGGGAGTTACATCAAATATTTACAGGTGCTTACGTTTTCAGATATCATTTAGTAACCCATTACCACATTAGAGGGGGAAATATCGCACTAATGGCTTTAAAATTTTTCATGAAGTTCCAGTTATGGTCAAGAACAACGTCTACAATTTTCGGTGATGATCAGATTAAAATTTTGGGATGAAATGGACCGAAAACTTAATTTTTTATGTGTTTTCGAGTCGAGTATAATCCGAAAATCACAACACAACCCACCGTGAAGGTAATCTGGACATGTAATTAGAAGGACTGTACTGAATATTCGAAAAAGTAAGGAAGAGGTGTTTTTGACCTCTAAACGGACATAAGGGGGCAAATATCACGAAATATTACTCTGACTCGGAATAAACATCTTCAGAAAGTTAGAGTTCGTGGTAGTTGTGTAGGGTATCGTATGGTCGGCCCCGTCCGACTATACTGCTCCGCTCACTGGTTTTCATATTGACAATCTTGTTTATCAAATTATTATTATTATTATTATTTCAAATTAAATTTCTTGTAGTACGATACAAAACCTTTTAAACAGCAATTGCCAATTTTTACCCTTATTATTACAGCTCTCCCACAAAAATACCTCAAAATTTTCAGTATTTTAACAACTTTAAACTAAATGTGTAGCTCTATACCGAATAAAAACTTATATTTGTTATCCATCCTTTACAATCTATTCAACAAAGTACTTTGTAATAACGTAATAAAAAATAATATGGCATATTACAAAAAAATTATTAAAAATTGTCCAACAAATTTAATAATTTTTTTGGTCAAACTCGTTTGTTGATGGTTTTTTTGTGAATTGTTGGTGTTTGATAGACATTTCCGACTACGTTTGAAATATGTTATCGACATCTTTTTGTCGAACGCTGATGAAGCTTTTAATCAAAAATTTCGGGGTGGCTTTTTTTTCTGTGTAAAGCAGCTGTGCCCAAAATAGGTCCCATGGGCTGTCGGTGTGTGTCAAATTGCTCACACATACAATTATAAAAGAGAAAATTTTGAAAATAAAAATTATTTTCAAAATTGTCATTCATTCCTTTTTGTTTTTATACACTAACCGAAAAAATTGGGATATTTCTGGCAAACATTAGTTCGGAACAGGTCGAAATATGTGAACAATATTATGCCGGAAGGGCAAAACAGAAACAAATATATGTTTATATGGGAAAATGTATCATCAACAACCATATTTGCATTAAATATTAATTTTTTTCTTCCTTAAAATTTGAAAATAATATTTTAACAAAATTTCTCCCAGTATATGACATAGAAACAGAACTTTTGAAAATTTTGTATTTGAAACATATACAATCACAAAACTTGAATGTATTAGTGTGGACAGCCCTGGTGTAAAGACAAAACATAGAAAATTAATAAAAAACAAAAAAGATATAACCATTTTTAATACGTCAGTCTTTTTGGGCCTTCATTTACCAGCCCGTTTATTTTCATTTCTAGTACCTGTGAGAATGGAGGGGTTCCCTTAAGGGTGATTTTTAAAAAACTGTGTTTTATTTATTTGTGGTTTCCTTAAGACGGATATGACACTCATCCTAACGAAATTTTCCAATGCATAAATATATTTCCCTTCGAAAACATATAATTGTCTTAATTCTATATATTTTACTAAATATCCAGACAATTAAATTATTTCTATCAACAAATAATTTAATTGATATAAAATATAAAATTAAACTATTCCCTGCTGTATAATATTATTAAAATCAACAATAATACATACAATTCTCCTGAGTAGAATTTCTAAACTAAAATTATACCACAATTTTAATTGCATACACAGGCATACATACGCACAAAACTAAATTAAATTTACATATTTAATTTATCTTTATTCTACACATTCAGACATTGTAGACATCAATAATAATAATAATATTTTTATTCACATAAATTAAATTTTCAAATACAATTATGCACACTATTATGGTTTGCAAATTATTTCGATAAACATAAAATGTTTTGTTTTTTTGCGAACGAACAAAATTTAATAATCACAAATGTAACAATGAACAACAACAATAAGAATAATAATAATTTCTTAATTGTTGCATAATGTTTGAAACTAATTAAATAATATTTGTTTAATTGTATCGTCTTGTTCTAATGCTTGTCTCTCTCTTTCTCTCTATTTCATTGCAGGATAAAGTTAAAGAAGTCTTTGATACAGCCATTTGGGAAGGCTTGGCACCATCTATATTACCACCCACACCAGCACCATTATGGAAGAGATTATTCTGTTTGGCCTAAAGCATGGAAAATTAAATGTGAAAAAGGGGCTAAACGGAATCACATGTATGAATGAAGAAAATTTGAAATTGAAAGTTGAAAATGCATAAATAATAGACTGATTAATGTTATAAAGGAAAAGTACTACTACTAATTCTTTTCTATTTACAATCATATTATGCTAATAACAAGACAGTATATATAATTTTTGGAAAATTAAGTTTTAAGTAACGAAAAATCATCGTTTTCATTAAGTTTACATATCTTTTTTCGAAACAAACAATCGATCCTCATTTCTATTTTCTTTACAATATGGCCTAATGTTTTATTTTTGTTTATCAAATTATGTTTGAAAATTTGTATTGTAATGATTTTAGTCCACATTTTTGTTATTTATATATAACATTTTTTTAATTATGAAATTTTTGGCCCTGCTTTTTGAATTAAGTTTTTTTTTAACCAATTGATGCTTCCAAATTCATTGCTTACTTTCTTCACCCAATTATTAATTTTGAACAACATTTGTTGTTTGTATTAGTTTATAATGTTGATCTTCTCATTAATATAGATTGTTAAAAAAATATTTTTTATAGCATTAATAATAATTAATTGTAGAATTTTTATTTGTCTAGTATTTTTTAGTTAATAAGTCTGAAGTCATGGGTTATTCAATGTCAAATTGAGGGGAAAATAGAAAACTCTTCTTATATTTGAAAAAAATTTAAAATTTTTATAAATTTTGATTGAATTTGAAGGAATTTTTAAATGAGTTTTTATACTCTTTCGAGTCAAATATTTTAAAAATATAATGTTTAAATAAATATTTATTTGGCATAACTTCAATATTTAGAGTCTTAAAATTATGAAAAAAAATTAAGCCATTAAAAATTTAACAAAGTATGTATTTTTTTATTGTTAAAATTAAAATGAGTGTGATAAAAATACAAATAATATGAATTGTTACTAAAGATAAATAAAAATTTAGAATATACATATCTATTATGTATGGAATTCATAAAATTGATTAAAATCCAAACTGTTAAAATAAAGCATTGGAATTGTATTAAGATCATCATCATACATACACGAAATTATATCTTATCTTCAAAACCCACTAAATTTAAATTAAAATTTATTTTTTTATATTTTTTTATATTTTTATGTTTTCCAGCCAATTTGACATGGAATAACCCAGTGCATAATAATTATGAAAATCGAAATTCTTTTTATTATAAAGAAAAAATTCAAATCACCAACAGAAATTTGCAAAACAAATTACCACAAAGAATTTCAGATTGTTATTCTTTGATTTACTTAATATTTTTCATTATCATTATTTTCTTTAAACATTTTTTTAATTGTGAATTATTAGTATAGATGTCATTATCGTTATAGCAAAACATTTCTTTTTATTTTGTTTAGAAATGTATAAACACACACACGTAATAATATCAAGAGATACTACTACTATAAAACAAATAACACTCATTCCATCCACACGAATATAATATAAACAAAAAACCTATTTTGTTAACTATTAAGTTTTATTTTTATGCATCTATTAAAAATACAAAAATGATAAATAAATTCTCTTATATATATTGATAAAGCAAAAAAAACTTGGTATTTTATTTATTGTTTATAAGATCTAATAGTCCCCGAAAAAAATTAGGAATTCTACGGTTCTTATAGTCCCTAAAAAATCCACGCTTTTGATAGTCCCTGAAAAATATTATAGTATAAGAAATCAACGCTTCTCATAGACCCTGAACTAATACTCTTTAACAAATCTACGCTTCTGATAGTCCTTGAAAATATATATTTTATAAAATTTATCCTTCTGATAGTCCTTGGCAAAATATTCCTTATAAAATCCAATCTTCTGCTAACCCATAAAAGCTGATAGCTCTAAAAAAATATTCTTGAAAAAATCTACACTTCTGATAGTCATTGAAAAAATATTCCTTAAAAAAATCTACCCTTCTGATAGCTATTAACAAAACATTCCTAAAAAATCTGCGCTTCTGATAGTCTTTGAAAATATTCTTTAAGCAAGCAAAACAGTGTCAGTCGGCGTTGTCGACAGATATATAATGGTACCCTATGGTTTGCGAAGGAGGTCTTCGGAGTTATAAGATGATGTTACGGATTTTATGTTGATCACATATATAATATTGACCCTTTTTGTATGAGGTACCAGAGGAAATTTGGACCCTTTGTGGGGAGGTACCAGAAGGAGTGGACCAATATGTCCCATAATAGGTTGTACAAAGTTTGGTTCAAATCGGATATTCCATTAGCCTGATATTGAGTATATAAATATTCAGTGGACCAATGACTCCCATCTTCCTACTTGATCTAGGCGTGGAAAGGATAATAGGTTGTACAAAGTTTCGTTAAAATCGGATAGTCCGTTTGCATGTTATTATAAAATTAATTTTTAGCACAATTTTGACAATTTTGTGGGGGCGGTACCAGAAGGAGTGGACCAATATTCACCATCTTCGAACTTATACTAAGTTTGGAAGAAATATTAAGATGTGCAATGTTTGGATGAAATCGATTATTCCCTTCGAGAGTTATCGAGCCCATCAGCCAGACAGACAGACGGACCTGTTTAAATCGACTTCAAATTTTCTGAAACGGGTTTTGTCCAAAGAGACATGGGACCTAAAACCAATATTTGGATTAGGCACATTTTAATGTATACTTTGGTTTTCCGAACAATTAAAATTATAAAGATTTATTTATAATCTAATAACTTTTGAAATACTCGAGACATCGGCACAAAATTGGTGTCATGTGAAAGCTAAAATTGTTTTCTATCTATTGATCCTATCATAATTAAAAAAGGAGCAATTTCAAATTAATAAAAAATCGTTTTAAGTTTACTAATGAAATTTGTTTGTTAAATTTTTTATCTAAATAAAATGTATTTTTCTCATAACGAAGAGTATTTCTTTCTCTAGAATATGACACCTAATTCATGAAAATCGGTTAAGTAGTCGCCGAGTTATTTACATTTGAATTTACCCCTGTTCCGAAATATACTTACTGCGCGGTGCTGGGCACCTATTACTTGAAAATGAAAAACCACACAAAAATCAATCTTTTAAAAATGGAAATATTTTGTTATAATAGGTACTGTGTATGTATGTGTTAATTTACGTATGTATTGATTTATGTATGTATAGATGTATATATGATTTATTTATGTACGTGAAATTATGTTGCTTTAAATTTGTATAAAAACAATCGAACTACATACATACTATGTTTGGCCTAAAAGTATGCTATATGTTGCTTTACAAACCAGCAGCCATTACGAATGAAACTTTGCCGTTTTTAAAAAATGCATTTTTGTATGGTTTTTCATTTTTAGGTAATAGGCGCCCAGCACCGAACAGTATGCGCATTTTGGAACATCGTTGAATTGAAATGCAAATAACTCAGCAACGACTTAACCGATTTTCATAAATTAGGTGTCATATTCTAGAGAAAGAAGTATTCTTTGTTATATGGAAAATACATTTTATTTAAATTAAGCATTTCACAAGCCAATTTCATTAGTAAACTTAAAACGATTTGTTATTCATATATTATTACCTGCACTTGGAATTATGATTGAATCAATAGATAGCAAACGATTTTAGCTTTCACATGACACCAATTTCATGCGGATACCTCAATTATTTCAAAATTTATTGCATTTTAAATATATCTTTAAAATGTTCAGTCGCAAAATTGACAGGTTGTTGGGAAAATCAAGGTATTGGTAAAATAGAGATAACTTTATAATGAATTGAGATATTTTGAAAAATCCAGCGATTATTTGTAGCTTGAATGATCCTCTATTTATATATAACTATTTCGTCTAAAATGTCCCATTAACGCTTGATATTTTTCGTCGGCAATATTAACCCACTTATGATCAGGATTTAAAGTTGCACATAAAATAATAAAAAATTTCCAAATATCACAATTTGTTCAAATAAATTAAGGTTTTTGCCTATTTATTTGGACTACTGGCGATATACTAATAAAATTGTTGTCATACGGAAGGAAAGAAACCTAGATGTTTCAAAATATATTCGTATTTGCTTAAATATGACATGTTGTATATGAAAACATAGTTTGAATGATTCTTTCTGCAATTATATTCTTAAAAAAAATTCAAAACACAGTGTCCGATTCTATTATTAAGACAAATATTTGACTCTTAAATACAATAGCTTATTTGTCTTAATAGAGCAATTTGTTAAAATGTTACAACAAATAAAAGGCAACTCGGAAAACCCTAGAGAACCCAGTAAAGAATGGAGAGAAAAAAGTTCGGTTCGACTACATATATATTATCTTACATCGCTGTATACAAGAGATGTACCTATGATTCGTATTGTAGCATACCGATAAAAATCATATTTTTAAGAGGAACAAAATCGACGTAAGTTAAAAAATATATATTTTTCAGAAACTTTTTTTAATATTTTATGAAATTTAACACAAAGATGTACGGATTGTGCCATATATTAAATGACATTATTGAAATTGGCATTTTTGTTTGTTTAATTATAGAAAAAAAAACTCTGAACTGATTTCAATAAAATTTTATAGACATCATTGTAGACTTAATACGGAACACTGTGCAAAGTTGGAGTCTATACTGCACCATTGAAATTAAATCGCCAGAACTTAATCGATCAAACTTGGAGTCTATACTGCATTAAATCGTCCAAAGATATATATGGAAACCTTATCTAAATCTGAAACTATTGCAGACGTCATTCTAGACTTAATTTGGCACACTGGGCAAAATTTTACGTCAATCGCAAAAAATCGGGTTTCTGTTGTATCACTTAAAATTGGAAGAAAATATATGTGGAATCTATAGCTAAATTTGAATATATTTCAACAAAACTTAACATACGTCATTCTAGACAACATTTAGAACGCTGTGCAAAATGTTTTAGTAATCAAATGGGCATTGGGACTTTTGTTAAA